TTTTATCATGAATGGGTGTTGCACTTTGTCGAAAGCTTTCTCAGCATCTATTGATATTATCATATGGTTTTTATATTTCTTTTTGTTGATGTGTTGGATAACGTTGATTGATTTTCGGATGTTAAACCATCCTTGTGCCCCTGGAATGAATCCAACTTGGTCGTGGTGAATTATCTTATGGATACATTGTTGGATTCTGATAGCTAAAATTTTATTGAGGATTTTTGCATCAGTGTTCATTAGGGAGATTGGCCTATAGTTTTCCTTTTTTGTGTTGTCCTTATTCGGTTTTGGTATTAGTGTAATATTGGCTTCATAGAACGTGTTTGGTATTGTCCCTTCCTTCTCAATTTTTTGGAAGAGTTTGTGAAGGATAGGCACTAATTCGTCTCTGAATGTTTGTAGAATTCATTTGTAAATCCATCAGGTCCTGGGCTTTTGTTTTTGGGGAGGTTTTTAATTACCACTTCAATTTCGCTGCTTGTAATTGGTCTATTTTAGGTGTTCTATTTCTTCTTTATCTAGCTTTGGGTGATTGTAGAGTTGTAGGAATTTGTCCATCTCCTCTAGATTGTTGAACTTGTTTCCATATAACTGTTCATAGTAGTTACTGATTATTCTTTTGATTTCTGCTGTGTCCGTTGTGATTTCTCCTCTTTCATTTATGATTCTGTGTATTTGTGCTTTCTCCCTTTTTTCCTTTGTGAGCCTGGCTAGGGGTTTGTCTATTTTATTTATTTTTTCAAAGAACCAGCTCTTGGTTTCATTGATCTTTTGGATTGTTTTTTTAGTTTCAATTTCATTTATTTCTGCTTTGGTTTTATTATTTTTTCTTCTGCTGGTTCTGGGGTTTTTTTGTTGTTCTTTTTCTAGATCTTTGAGCTTCGAGATTAGGTTGTTTCTTTGAGTTCTTTCTTGTTTTTTGATGTGAGCTTCTATTGCTATATATTTTCCTCTTATTACTGCTTTTGCTGCATCCCATACATTTAGGATATTGGTGTCCTCCTTGTCATTCAATTCAAAGAATTTTTTAATTTCTTCTTTGATCTCCTCGTTAGTCCAGTGGTCTTCCAGTAGTGTGGCTTTTAATCTCCATGAGGTAGGATAGTTCCTTGCCTTCTTTTTATGATTTATTTCTAGTTTGATGCCTTCGTGGTCAGAAAAGATGGTTGGTATGATTTCAATCTTGGTGTATCTGTTGATGTTTGTCTTGTGCCCCAGTATGTGATCGATCCTGGAGAATGATCCGTGTGCGCTTGAGAAAAATGTGTACTCCGTTTTTTTGGGGTTTAGTGTTCTATAGATGTCTGTTAAGCCCAAATGCTCTAGGTCCTTATTTAGAGCTTTAGTTTCTTTACTTATTTTTTGTCTTGTTGATCTATCCATTGTTGATAGTGGTGTGTTGAAGTCTCCCACTACATATGTGTTTTCTCTGATGTCTGTTTTCAGAGAGGACAACAGTTGTCTGATATATTTTGGTGCTCTTTCGTTTGGTGAGTATATGTTAATGAGTGTTATTTCTTCTTGAAGTATTGTCCCCTTAATCATAATGTAGTGACCATTGGGGTCTCTTTTTTTTTTTGAGTTTGAAGTCTGTTTTATCTGATATAAGTATAGCTGTTCCTGCTTTCTTTTTTGGCCCATTTGCTTGTAGGATTGTTTTCCATCCTTTGACTTTGAGCCTATTTTTATCTTTTGTAGCTAAATGTGTTTCCTGGAGACAGCAAAAGGTTGGGTTTTGTTTCTTAATCCAGGCTGCAACTCTGTGTCTTTTTATTGAAGAGTTTAGTCCATTTACATTTAGAGTTAATATTGATATGTTAGCATCTGTATTTGCCATTATGGTTGTCTTTCCTTTGATTTTATTTATTTATTCTTTTAATAACTTTTTTTTTTTTTTTTTTCTTCTCTTTCGTTGTTATTCGTCCCTCTGAGGTTCTGGCTTTAGGATTCCTTGTAGTATTTTTTGGAGTGGGGGTTTAGTCGCAATGAAATTCCGGAGTTTCTCTTTGTCTGGGAAGGTCCATATTCTTTCTTCATGGAGGAAAGAGAGCTTTGCGGGATAGAGTATTCTTGGTTGGCATCTGTTTTCTTGGAGTCTGTTGACTATGTCCCTCCACTCTCTCCTTGCCCGTAGTGTTTCTTCAGAGAAGTCTGATGTCAGCCTGATTGGTTTTCCTTTGAATGTTATCTGTTTCTTCCCTCTTGTCAGCTTCATTATTTTTTCCTTGTCCTGGATTCTTGGGAGCTTTACTATTATGTGTCTTGCTGTGTTTTTCCTTTCGTCGTGGAAGTTTGGTGTTCTTCTTGCTTCTTGTATATCAATTTTCAGCTCCTTCTTCTCATTTGGGAAGTTCTCTTCAATTATATCCATGAATATTTCTCTGTTCCTACATCTCTCTCCTCTCCTTCTGGAATTCCTATAACTCTTATATTTCCTTTCCTCATGGAGTCAGATAGTTCCCGAAGTCTTTCTTCATTCTTTTTCTTCGTACTTCTCTTTCCTTTTCTGTTTTGGTTCTTTTTATTTCTGTGTCTTCAAGATTACTTATTCGTTCTTCCATTTCATCTATTCTGCTTTCATTGCTTTTCCCAGAGTTCTTTAGTTCCTCCATTAATTCTTTGATCTCCTGCATTTTCTCTACTTCCCTCTTTAGGGACTCAATTTCTTCTTCTGATCTATCACTTTTAATCATGGCAATTTTAAATTCTCTTTCTGGAAGGCTCAGAAGTTCTTCCAAGTTGCTGTCGTTGCAATCTGGGGAGTGGTTTTCTTTTTGTGGTGTGCTTCTTTCCTGAGGAGTTGTTAGGTTGCGTGTGGTTCTTCTACTCCCTACTGTCTGTTTTCTAATTTGTCGTATGCGTTGGGACACTGTGTTGCTCGGACTGACTGACATCTTGGGTGAACTTCTCCGCTCCCCTCTGGCTCTTCCAGGAGCCATCTCTGTCTTCTGGGGAGCTTTCTGCTGGTTTTAGGCAGTTTTACTGAAGAAATGTCCCTGTTCTCAAATGGCGAAGCGGGATGCAGTCCCTGCGCCTCCGGTTTCAGGCACACTCTTCTGCGCCCCCGGTCTGCCCCTGACGTGGGTGCCTGCTCCCTCTGTGGGCTCAGACTGCTGGTCGGAAGGGGCCTGGCGTGGAATAACTTCCCGGCTGGCCACTGGGTCCTCCAGAAACCTTCTGCCCTTTTCAAGCAGTCTTAAGAAATGTCCTGTTTTATAGGGTGTTAGTGACTTTTTTTTCCTGGTCACTAGGTGGCGCCAGAGATCTCTCCTATTGTCCTTGGGGGGCTGTTTTTCGCCTCCCCCCACCCCGTGGGACAGAGAACAGAGCGGGAATGGTAGGGTACACCTCAACAGCTTTGGGGTGCTGTGTCTGCCTTGTGCCCCACCGTCGTGGAGAAACCACGCCCCGAATTTTCGTGCCCCGGGTCTCAGTTCAAAGCCCTCAGTTCCAGGACGCGGGCTGTAGCCCAGTTCAGTGGCACGGGAATGGCGCCTTTTGCACAGCTCCCGTGCCTGGGCGCCTGGTTCCTGCTCACTCAGGGAGGGACCTTCACCTCAGTTAGGACCTCCGTGCGTCTCCCCGCAAGCCTAGGTCGCAGGCGCGGGGACCTGGGCAGCCGCGATCCAGGTCTGCACTTGCTTTTCAAGCTCCCCGAGCGCGCCGCGTTTCCGCGCCAGCTTACCGGCAGCCCGGGCTGTGTGCGCGTCTCCCGGGGTCTTTGTTCTTCTCTAATGGCGCCAGGAGCCGTTCGCTCACCCCCGCGGCGGATCCTGCAGGGTTCGCCTCAGCTCCCGTTCACGGGGTGTGGTGGCTGCAATAGTTCCTTTCCACTCACAGTCCCGCTTGCTTCGTCGTTTGTTCTTGTGGGCCGTTTTGGTTTGTTGTTTCCTCCTCTCTGCCGGTCGGAGAGTCGGATACCATAAATTTTAAACACAGTCAAAACTATAAAATACTGTCAGTAAGCATTGAATGGTTCTCATTATGTGCTGTGGTTATGCTAAATTCTCTATTTACTGACATTATTTCATTCAGTTTCTATAACAATCCTTTGGTGTAGGAACTGTTAGCCCCTTTTTCAGATGAGAAAACTGAGTCTTATAGGTTTGCCTCTAACCACACAACTGAAGTTGTCATTTGAACTCCATATCTGCCTGGTACCAAGACTCATGATCTTAAATCACTGGGCCCTGGACCTTCCTGGTGGCAATGGATTAAGAACAGCACTATGAAGCTATCTGCAGCCACTGCAACACAAGTTTGATCACCATTCGACCAGGGAGCAACCCACATGGTGCAGCAGACCTCTCCTGTCTCGCTTGCTGCTCCCCTCGGCAGTGTATTTCAGTCTGCCTGTTCCGTTTCCCATTCTGTCTCTGGTGAATCCTCCTACCTCCCACACCTCTGGCCTGTACCCCAGTTCTTGTATGCATAAATAAATAAATCTTTAAAAAAAAATCACTTGGCCCTGCAATAAGCATGAAATAAACACCAACAAAAATCTCTGAGACAGGAACTTGTAATAGTCGTTTTTATTTGCTCAAGGATGTAGACCTCGTGAAGTGTAATCGAATCATCTTCCTAAAGAAATAAGGATAATCTAAAGAAAATTAGTCACATAGTATGCCTCATTTGTCCCGCAAAATAAGCTTTCATGGGTAGTGAATGAAGATAAATCCTCATGTAAAGAGTTGTGCCTAGTAACAATTTCCAAATGCAACATATTATATAAACTGTAGTTTATATAAATGCAGCACATTGAGTTCATATTTTCTATGTTTTGTTACTTAGTACTTATAGTTATAAGTAAGTAACTTTAAAAGGCACACTTAGTGAAAAATGCAGGCTAGCAATACAGTGGTTGCTATGGCTTTCAGGCAAATGCATTTTTTAAAAGGACATACAGGTTTTTGAAGTGGCCCCATCTTCTCATATTGGCACATCATTATATGCAGTTACTTTATGCTTATAAGTCATATTGCTTCTTGCCTCCTCAGAATCTGCATCAAATCTGAATTCTTTGTCATCACTTCCTATGCTGGAACCTTGGCTCTCCAGACCAGAGGTAAGTGAGGAAAAAGGAATATGGGGGATACCATCTTGCACCAGTCTCCTTCAAATCTCCCCTATAAATCTATACCTCCCCTGAAAAGAATGATAAAAGGAAATAGGAAAAGAAATAAAAGTCCAGAATGCTAAAATTATCAAAAGGACAACCATTTGCTTGTATCTGCAAATGAAATAACATGAAAAGAGTAAAGGACCAAAATCACTATATGCCCCTTTTATAAAATATGGCTTGTGTTATCTTTGTCTCCTTTTTCCAGGATATCCTCTGCTTTGTGACCTGGTGATAATGTGTCAAGAAAGGCAGACAGGAAGGCTTTTCATGTGGGTTGACTCACTCCTAAGGAGAGTTCACCTTGCTGCTCTCAGCCTCCTCTTAGCAATACAGACCAAGTAGTTTGTGCCTGTGGGCTCCGACCATTCCTTAGCCACAGATTTGCACATTTGGTGTCCTATCCCCTCTAACCCTTCACAATCCCCCTATGAAATCATTTATGGGTGCCTCCCTAGAACTGGGCCAAAAGTTCCTTGATTTGGTAAGACTGATTAATATTTGGAGAGGAAGTCCCATTAAATTTGGAACCCCAGTCCTATAGGCAAAGCTTTAAGCTTTGCTGCTAAGTCTCCAAGGAAACCATTGCTATTTGTGACTCTGTTTAGAGCTCAAGAAGTAATTCTTACCTGCTTTAGCAAGACTGACAGTGTCATGACAGCTTCAAGAGGCTGTCGTTTCCACAACGAAAGATTCTGTAAATCGATTATTAATGAAGCACTGCCATATTTTAAGTGACTCTGTTCTTTGAGAGAGCGTGTTTATATTTAATTATTGAAATGTGAACTGTGCAATGCCACAGTAGCACAAAAGTCAGCTATTATCCCCCCAAAATGGTTCAAAAATCAATCTTCATTCCAAAACCCATAATAAAAAAATAAAAAATAGCAATTTATTGAGAAAAACTAAAGACATCCTGTGTCAGAAAAGCTATCATTAGTTGTGCTAAAACTAATACGTACATATTTTTAAAGAGAGATGTGCGTAATTATGCAAAAGAATTTTAAGTACTTAGTTGAATGGAGGAACCACTGAATTGTCACTATCATTGGTAGTTTGACACTTGCCCTGTTTCTGCCTGTCACACCAACCGTGGAGGCAGCTGTTATTAGAGATGTGTGTGAATAGTAAAAAATAAAAAAAAAAAAAAAAGCCCCTGGGTTACCATGCTTCTGTCCTTCCTTGAAGGTGATCAGTTTGTACTAACAAAGTTTTGACCTGTTCTAGCCTCAAGAATTTTGTCTGTAGTACTGCTTCTGAAATTCTGTGATGATGAGTGGGCAGCCATAGAGGGTAGGGTGACAAGAAAATCTTCCCAGTTGACAGTAGTACCTCAGAATTTCTATATAAAAGGGACTGAGGCAGCAATCTGAATGGAAGATGAGTGGAGAACTTCAAGTAGCATTCACATAACATTTTATGGAAAGGTGGAAAAAATGCCAGTTGTCTTTACCAAAGAATGGACTAATGTTAATGCTGAGGCTAAAGCCCTCCCCACCCCCAGCCCTCCTACTGTAATGTGCACAGTCACTTCACACTTGCTTTCTATGTTTTAGGAGAGTGGAAGGGCCACTGAATTGATGTGTGATGTGATCAGATCTGTGTTTTAGAAAGATGACTCTGAGAATGAGCAGATGTATCATTGCTCTCCAAGAGAGGATAGTGGCTTACACTCAGTTTTAGTGGTAGCAAGAAGGCAAAGGTTATTGCAATAATCACAACTCATTTACTATGAGAGTCTTTTATTTTATTTATATATTTTAAATCTTTTAAAAACTTTATTTATGTTTGTGTTGAAGAACTGGGGTATAGGCCAGAGGTGGGGAGGGGGTTGAGAAGATTCAACAGAGACAAGAGTGGGGAACAGAACAGGAGGATTTTCTGGAATAAACAAAGGGGAGCAGCCGGTGAGACAGGAGGGTCAGCTGGACTGACATCTCTATCATCAGTCACCATCACAATCAACTATCCAGGGCCAGTTGCTTTCAGAAGCCTGCAATATGGTAGATAAGTACAACCATCCCTCCCTTCTCGCATTGAGCAATGTAACTTCCACTCCGCTCTGTGACTTGCCTTAACCAGTAGGATGCAGTGCAAGTAATGTTGTGTGACTTCAGAATGACCTTGAAGTTTTTGTTTATTGTTCTTTTGGAAGTTAGCTAAAAAAACTCTGTGGGGAAGAGGAGGAAGGAGATATCATGAAGTAAGAGAGGCAGTGTAGAGGAGAACTAAGGTACTTCAGCCAGCAACCATCATCGTGGCTCCCGTCACGTGAATAAGACCATCTTGACTACTGTAGCACCAATTAAGCCAACCCAAACAACACTATGTAGAGCAGACAGAGCATTCCCTGCTGAGCCCTGTCTGATTTTCTAGCACAGAATGTTGAACAGTGGTGATTGCTTTTTATTACTGGTTGTGAGGTGGTTTGTTATACAGTGATAGCTAATTTATATACATGGCTTGGAAATGAAAGCCAGGGCTTCTGAAATGGTAGTTCCCAGATTGAAATTCTAGTTATATATTAATCCTCTTGGACCTTGGGAGCACAAAAGATCTAATTTATCATTTTTTATTAAAATTGGACACTTTAAATAATATAATGTGACAACTCTGGAAATTTTATTCCTCAGTCTCCCCTGGAATTGTTATTGCTGCTTATTATTGTTGCTGCTATTGCTGAGTGTTTTATGATTTTCTTCAATTAATTCAGTGAAGTCTGTATTCTTTGTTATATGTGATCACTGAAGTCTCTGTTCATTAATTTACAAAGATTTCCTTAAATACTTGGAATCAATAAGCCTCCCATCCTTGGGTGAAGTGTTCTGAGTGCTGTAGTATGTCTTAAACATTTACTTTACCATCAGCCTTGGCTTTCACTTTCTACTAGTGCAGAGCTTCACAGTTACCCAGAGGGGAGAGTTGAGGGTTTTCACAGGTTTTTCCTGAGCCTGTGCAAGAGCTTCTAGAGTCCCAGATATGTGTGAAATTTTTTTTCAGGATCCCCATGTTTATTTTACTTCCCAGATTTTCCTTTGGGTTTTTTGACTAGCATGTTATTTGCCCCAACTGTTACTGTTACCTCAGGCAGCTGTGATGTTAAACCATTATCTCCAATTGTTTTCAACAAACACCTCCAGAGAAAAGCCCGTTTGCACTGGGTAAACTCTGAGTCAGGTCAAATTAAGACAAACCTAAGAGTAGAACTTTCAGACAGACCAAATAATGGCAATTCTTTGAATGGAATTTGGGGGACCTCCAATTCCACTCTGCACCCTTCCATGGCTACTAAACTGCTGATTTTCAAGGTGACTGCTATGCCAAGGAGGGGTAGATAATGATAGTTTAAAATGCCATGAATATCTCTGGTATAAATGTTTAGAACCTACCTAAAAATTTAAGGCCTACCCTAATATTTCACCATTTTTTCATAAGTCAAATGCTTTCCAAAGTGAATTAAGTGAATTAAGCCTTTGATTAATTTAAGTTCTAAAAAAGTTTAACAGTTTTTTCAAATGTACTCATTGCTTTTATGGTGAAAGGATTGACAGAGGTCTTGATTCCACCTTTCATGCTGACATTACTTTCTTATGACTTGTGCAATTTGTATTAAGACACAGAGCTCAATATTTTTTTTTCACAAATTTAAAAAAAAAAACACTTATAGTTTGACACTGTAGAAGTCATTCAAAAATAATACACAAAAATAAAAATAATACATTTCACTTCCTTCTTTAAGAGTGACAGTTACTCATTAATAGTTTCTGTGTGTCTGTTGAGAGCTATGCAATTTCTTTTTTTTATTATTATTATTTTTTTAATAATAAATTTTATTTTTATATTCCCCATACAATTGCAACCCCCCATTCTGACCCCAATCCCTCCCCTCCCACCCCCCACCCCCCAAAAAGTGTCTCTGGTTCATAGTTTTATGTTGATTTTGATTTTCACTTTCTTATAGTTATTCATTTTCCTGGTCCCTTATTTAAGTTTTCTAGATTCCTGCTATGAGTGAGACCATTCGGTATTTTTCTTTTTCTTTTTGGCTTATTTTGCTGAGCATGATCCCTTCCAGCGCCATCCATGTTGCTGCAAATTGCATGTGTTTATCTTTTTTGAATGCTGAGTAATATTCCATGGTGTATATGTACCACATCTTCTTGATCCAGTCATCTATTTTGGGGCATCTGGGCTGTTTCCAAAGCTTAGCTATTGTAAATAGTGCTGCTATAAACATAGGGGTGCACGTGCTCTTTGGAATTGATGTTTCTGTGTCCTTTGGTTAAATACCTAGGAGTGGAATTGCTGGATCATATGGAAGCTCTATGTTTAGTAGGTCCAGAAATCTCCACACAGCTCTCCATAGTGGTTGGACCAGTTTGCACTCCTGCCAACAGTGCAGAAGAGTTCCTTTTTCTCCACACCCTCGCCAACATTTGTTGTTGCTAGTTTTTTTAATATGTGCCATTCTCACTGGTGTAAGATGGTATCTCATGGTAGTTTTGATTTGCATTTCCCTGATTGCAAGTGATGTTGAACATTTTTTCATATGCCTGTTGGCCATTAGAGCTCAATATTTTGAATAAATAAACTAAAAATGGTAAAATGACTGCAACTGCAATATAAGAGAAAGTTGAGAGATAGTGGTTTCATGAATGAATTGTCAAAATGGAGTGAAAGCTGATGTTTATGTTGTAGAGAGATCAAAGAATGTGCCTGAATCCTCTCTATGTGGTCTGGGGAGAGATAAATTGGCCTTACCATGTATAGATGACTATTCGTAGCAGTTTTATTGTAATTGCCAAAAAAATGAAATAATCCAAATGTCCTTTAATGGATAAATAGCTAAGCACTGATGCATTCATATGATGGAACACTACTAACAGTAAGAGGAAATATACTATTGATACATGAAATATTTAGATGAATCTTAAGGGACTATGCAA